CCATTCTCCCCGGGGTGGGGGGGGGGGGGTTTTTCCTCTCTCTCTGTCTTTCTAGCGAGAGAATGTGCCCTATAGCAAAAACCTCTAAAAAAAAAGAAAAGAAAGAAAGAAAGAAAAAGAAATGAATAAACAATGAGTCTGGAAAGAAATCATAATGGAAATTAAAAACACTTTGAGATAAACAAAACAAAAAATAGTATATACCCAACTCATGGAATGCAGCAAAGGCAGTTCTAAGAGTTTATAGCTATAAATGCGTTCATTAAGAAAAGAGAATGAAACTGAATCTCCATCTTTCATCATTAACAAAAATCAATTCAAAATGGATCAAAGATCTGAACCTAAGACCTCAAACTAAAACTCCAGGTGAAAAACACTGGAGAAAGTCTGGGAGACACGGGAGTAGGCAAAGACTTCTTAAATAAGACTCCCAAAGCATGGGCAATAATCCCTAAAATAGACAGATTAAGAAGTTTCTGCACAGCAAAAGACAGAGTAACAAGTGTGAATCCACAACCCTCAAAATGGGAGAACACTTTTGTAAAATATGCCTCAGACAAGGGACTGATAACCAGAATACACAGGGAACTCAAACAGCTTACCTGAAAAAAAAATGTCTAACCCAATTAAAAGATGGGAAAATGAGCTGAACAAAAATCTCTTTAAGGAAGACATCTGAACAGCAAAAAAGCATATGAGGAAACGTTCAACATCCCTCATCATAATGAAGATGCAGATTAAAACCACAATGAGATACCACCTCACCCCTGTCAGAATGGTGAAGATTAAAAATACAGAAAGTGCTAAGTGTTGGCAGGGTTGTGGTGAAGAGGGAACTCTCCTACACTGTTGGTGGGAATGTAAACTGGTTCAGCCACTGTGGAAAACAATATAGAGGTTCCTCAAAGATCTACAAATAGAACTACCATTTGCAAGCAATCCCACTTCTGCACATCTACGCAAAGGACAAGAGAACATTCAGTAAGAAAAGCGCTTGTACCTCAATGTTTACTGCAGCATTATTCACGATCGCTAAGACATGGAACCAACCCAAATGTCCATGAATAGATGAATGGATGGTAAAAGTGTGGCACATACACTCTATGGAATACTATTCAGCCATAAAAAAGCAAGACCCTGGCATTTGATAGAAAGTGGTCAGATATGAAGGATTTATTGCTGAGAGAAGCAAACCAGGATATGAAAGAAAGATAGTGTATGTATCCACTCGATATGTACTGACTACCCACACTTCATGTTAGAGATTGAAATAGTGGAAGGCATAAAAGCAATGAAAATAATAGTGGATGATGAAGACAGAAAAAGAGAAATCACTCCCCGGGGGGATGGCCATACCGGAATCCCTTCTCCTCCTACTGTTCAAAAAAAGAAAAAAAAAAAAAAAACAGGCAACAAAAGCACTATCAGAAAAGACAGGAATGACACATTCGTGGAGTTGTGGGATCCCAGAGAAATGGCATCCAACCCCACTCTGAGCCAGAGAAGAGTGAGGCAACCCCCAGCTGAAGGAAGCCTGGGAACAGGCAAGAGTGAACCTGGCAGACACTAAACAGGGGCTTCCCAGGCAGAGGAGAGGCCTGTCCATTCAGTGCAGCTGCTGCTCCCCTTGCAGGCCCGACCCTGGATGTAGATCAGAGACGGGGAGGATGGGCATGGGGGGGTGGCTGTAGGGAAGTGAGGAGGGTGGTTTCTAGGGAGGGGGAGCTCAGGACCAGCCCTGAGCAGGTGAAGCGACCTCTCACTGACACTGGTCAGGAGGTCCTGGAAGCATAGAGGTCAGAGTGTGCACCTTACAAAACACAGTTCTACAGGAAATTCCATCAGCTTTATCATCATTTATTTATTTCTCATCTAAAACAGAAATTTAAAACTTTAAATGATTTTCTTATTCATATCTCATTTTAATAAGAAGAAAACATTAACAAAGAAAGCTAAAAAAAGCTTTGTGAGAGCCATTCTCAGAGTTCTTTCTGTGTTAATCTACATGACTTCTGTCACATAAAGTGTCTTTTAAAAGTTCATTAAAAATGTGTATTATTTACAAAACTATGGGGCCTGCCCACAGCACGGTGCTTAAATGCTATGCATGGAAAGGCAGATCCCACACGGCCAACCATGATTTGAATCCTGGGCATGGTGGCTCGAAAAACACCAGGCACATGTGTGCACATGGACAAGATCCTGATAAGATGGAGAACGGTTGCAGCATGACCACGTCCCATCAAAGAGTGCTCGCTCGTTCTCTCTCTCGCTCTCGCTCTCGCTCTCTCTCTCTCCCCCCTCCTCGCTCTCCTTTCTCTTAAGTCCACATGCCCACTGACAATTTAAAAAAAAAAAAATGATACATGGACTGCAGTTTGGAGTTGTGGGATCCCAGAGAAATGGCATCCAACCCCACTCTGAGCCAGAGAAGAGTGAGGCAACCCCCAGCTGAAGGAAGCCTGGGAACAGGCAAGAGTGAACCTGGCAGACACTAAACAGGGGCTTCCCAGGCAGAGGAGAGGCCTGTCCATTCAGTGCAGCTGCTGCTCCCCTTGCAGGCCCGACCCTGGATGTAGATCAGAGACGGGGAGGATGGGCATGGGGGGGTGGCTGTAGGGAAGTGAGGAGGGTGGTTTCTAGGGAGGGGGAGCTCAGGACCAGCCCTGAGCAGGTGAAGCGACCTCTCACTGACACTGGTCAGGAGGTCCTGGAAGCATAGAGGTCAGAGTGTGCACCTTACAAAACACAGTTCTACAGGAAATTCCATCTGCTTTATCATCATTTATTTATTTCTCATCTAAAACAGAAATTTAAAACTTTAAATGATTTTCTTATTCATATCTCATTTTAATAAGAAGAAAACATTAACAAAGAAAGCTAAAAAAAGCTTTGTGAGAGCCATTCTCAGAGTTCTTTCTGTGTTAATCTACATGACTTCTGTCACATAAAGTGTCTTTTAAAAGTTCATTAAAAATGTGTATTATTTACAAAACTATGGGGCCTGCCCACAGCACGGTGCTTAAATGCTATGCATGGAAAGGCAGATCCCACACGGCCAACCATGATTTGAATCCTGGGCATGGTGGCTCGAAAAACACCAGGCACATGTGTGCACATGGACAAGATCCTGATAAGATGGAGAACGGTTGCAGCATGACCACGTCCCATCAAAGAGTGCTCGCTCGTTCTCTCTCTCGCTCTCGCTCTCGCTCTCTCTCTCTCCCCCCTCCTCGCTCTCCTTTCTCTTAAGTCCACATGCCCACTGACAATTTAAAAAAAAAAAAAATGATACATGGACTGCAGTTTTTTTTTTGCACTGAAATAAACTCATACTTTAAGTCCCCTCAGATGAATTGGACAAATGAGAGTACCTGTTTTTCTGAGTCCATGCTCAGCTCTGGGGCAGACACATAAACATCCTAAGTTTTGGAACAAAGCTGTGGCTCCCTCTCCTCTGTCTGAGAAGCTACACTCTCTAAAAAGTTAAGGTATGTTAAGTGTGCAGCAGGGAGGTGACACCGTGAACGTCGCCCAAGCTCCCCTCCTGGGGTCAGGATTGCCCGGCCTTACCCTCTCCAGCCTGGGTATGTAGACTGAAGGAGGCTGAACTGCAAGGCCCCACGACCAGAAGATCCTGACTCGCAGTGGCCACGTAAACGTCCCTCTTTTCTCTTTCCCCAAAGCCGAGTATCAAACATGTGCTCTCAGTAGTGATGGGATTGTGTGTAACTTCCCACCTCAACCCTGCTTCCTCTGAATGGGAGAAAATCAGGCTGTCCACAAGGCCTAGGAGGCACTGTGGCATGCATGGGGACACCCCAACATCGGCTGATGGTCACAACGATACAAATGCTCACTGTGTCTCCTCATTTGCCATTACCACGTTTCGTAGGCTGGGCGTTCTTCGCTTTTCACCCTATGCCACTAACAGTACCAGCAGAACTTCCTAACTTCTCAGCACAATCCTGTCAGGTATATTTCTCCAAGCACCCTGGGAACGGCCATAGGGACTTGTTAAGCAAAACATTTTGGTCTAGCATCTCTCCTTGTTAACAGCATCCGACAGATGATCAATAGCCAGCCTATTTAGAAATGCCAGTCTGAATACTCCCAGGAAAGACAAACCGGATTATTAGTGTGGCTAATGAATCCTGCGATGGGACACTTACTGCCATACATTGGGCTTCTGCCAGGAGACTGGCTGTTGTCCCTCATCATATAAAAATAGCTTTGTGGAGGATGTTTCTGTCTCTAGTTTGCAGCTGTTCCTCCTGCACTATATATTTTCTTTGTCTGTAGGGACCTAATTACAGTGCCTGAATGGTTTCCCTAATCCACGTATTGGCTACATCTACATCATTGGGCAGGAGGTGTCTGGACACAGCAGACAAGATGGACCTCACTCTGCACACTGCCCATGACCCCGAAGGACTCCATGTGAACTGAAGCTCTGCAACTTGTGTCCGCACTCACATACGCATGATCCGTTTGGAAATGCCATTTCTGAGATTACAGACACTTATTGCTAATCATTTTGTTATACCCACTTCCCTACCGTCCTCTGTGTGCTGTAGACATATTCTTTGACTCAGTCCTCACAGCCCGCCACGTGACAGACCTATTTATTAGCAAAGTGAGACTTGGAGAAGTAATGTCGTCGGCTTCGGGGAATGCGGCTAGTGGTGCGAGGGCCCCGTTAATCACCCCCCCTGAAAGCAAGCACGTGCTCCTCACACTGCTGGAGACTACCACTGCTTTCGTTCACTCACTGTCTCCAGGCAGGCCTACAGGAGGCCAGGGAGTGCCATTCAAAGACGATCTGATTTGAATACGTCTGCAAGTGAACAGATATTGGGACTTCTGGGTCAGAAATGTGGGTCTCCTCTGCTTCTCTACCCCTGTGAAACTCAGAGGGGGTGTCAAGTCTCAGGAGCAAGCTGGCATCAGTGAGAGCACCGTATGAGGAGCATGCACCCCGCCCAGCACAGTCCCCTTACCGTCTCCAGTTTTGCCTGGGTTCGGGGGTTCAGGAGTACTCAGAGGCCTAAGGGGAATGATGATCTCGTCAATGTTCACCCCCTCTTCTGTGTGCTTCTCAGAAACATGGGAGAGGAGTTTGGATTGATTTGGTGAGAAAAGGTTACAACATTTGCACATGAAGATGGCCGTGTTTTCTGTAAGAAAAATAAAGAGTATGTTACTTCATCTTATTATCTAAACAGTAATTCAACTGCCAAAGGAAATCCTGAAGGCTGCCCTCCGAACCAGCCCCTCTGGTGGACAGCTCTGCCATGTGAGGCTCACACCCACCTCAGGTGGCCTCAGCTGCCAGACAGTTTTCTTTAGTATTTCAAAACCACAGTCTTTCTGGATAGTGCCCAGTGTGGACCTCCCTGGCCCCAAAATCCACTCTCCAATCCGGACTCCATTATGAGTGCAGTCAAGTAAACACTGAACATGCAACTCGAACCATGAAACCCTACCCCTGCAGTGAAAGGGCTGCGCTGACACCCACTGGTCTCAGCCGAGGTGTGAGGAAAACCTCACCGAGTGGTATCCCTGAAGGGCCACAGCACCTCTCAGTGACTGCACAGGAGCTAAGAGCTAAGAATGAAAAGGATGGGAGCTACGGATCTTTGTGAGCCATGTAATTCTGACTTAAAAGCGTTGTCACCGGGTCAGTTAAGCTGCATCCCATGTGCCTGACAGCATGGTCTGAGTTCTAGAACCGACGGCTCGAGAAACACACCGGGCACATGCACAGGTGCACCCAGAATCCCAGGAGAAGAATGAAGAAGGGACTGTGGACCACAGCATGGCCAGCCACCTTCGGAGGGTGTTCTCTCTCTCTCTCTCTCTCTCTCTCTCTCCAGTGAGTGCACATGCCCCGTGGGGAGGGAGAAATACCACCTTTCACAAAAGTTTACTAACAATCCATTGTGTTCATCCCATTATACTAGGCAGAAAAACATAATAAAAAAGGCTCATTTTTGAGTCTGACATAGTAATTATAGGCATACACAAAACAGTCAGTTAGGACCCAATACAACTTAAAAGCCAGATTTTCTTTTCTATTACTTAAAATTTACACTGAAAAACAGAAGAATTTTTTTTAATATTTATTTTATTTATTCATTTATTTTAATGTGACCAGAGAGAGACACAGAGAGAGAGAAAGAGAGAGGGGGGACAGTGAGAAAGCGAGCCACCAGGTCTGGAACTCAAACCATGGTCAGCCATGTGGGAGTATCCAGCACCTTAATCACCATGCCACCTGCTGGTCCCCAGAAGAATTGTTTTGATGACAATGGCTTTGAAGCCAGACAGATGCAGGTTCAATTCCCAACTCCAGTCCCCGAGTATAGTTAACACGGTGAGCGTGGAGAAGCAGCAATGGTCTCTCCGGGGGCTGGAAGTCAACAGGAAACGCAGGCTAGCCTTTACCAACCAGGCGGCAAGAACACAGTGGGTGCACAGGAGAGCACTGTTCTGGGTCAGCCCAGCCCTCCCTGCGCAGGGAAACGGCTGAAAGTCACCCCTCCTGCCTGGCTCCCATGGACACTCTGTCCCTGCCCTCCTGGAGTGCTCCCATGAGATCGCTAGGCTCTTGTCTCTGCTGTCACCGACAAAGGTATGGTGGTCATAGGAGAGCGAGCCCTTGCCCCTGCTCACTGTCAGCCGTGGACCTGGCCTCCCACCCACTGGAAGCAGCTGGGGGCTGCCTCCACCACACCTGTCAGCCCCTCCTCATCTCCACCCACCCCCACCTGGCTCCGGTCAATGGTCAGAGCCAGGGTCTACACCAGCAGTGGCATGCAGGGGTGTGTGCAGGGACAGAAGTCCACCCGAAATGGGGTGTTTATCACTGCACTGTTTAGAACTGACAGCTCATGAAGTTAAAAAAAAAGAAAAAAACAAGTATACTGGCAGGTGGAGTGGTAGTTAGACACTGGACTCCCACATGGCTGACCACAGTTCGAATCTTGGGCATGGCACCTTGCTTTCTCACTTTCCCTCTTTCTCTCTTTGTTTCTTCCTAGTCAAATTAAATAATAATAATGAATAAAATTAAATAAAATAATTCTAAATAAAATAAAACAAAAAGAATACCAGTGTTCAACTGCTGTGATTGCATTTTTTAAATTCTCTGGACAACACACCCCATGTTGCCTGCACCCAGGAAGACTGCCCTACTATCCTCCGCAGTTAGCGTAATGGCTATGTCGCTGGACTCCCATGTAGTCGACCGCGGTTCGAGTCCCAAACCAGGGGGCTTAAACTCACGCCGGGCATGTGTGCGTGCGTGCCCAAGATCCCGAGAGGAGACTGGAGGAGAAGGGATTGTGGTGTGGCCACCCCCTGGGGGGCGATTTCTTGCTTTCTAGCAAGTGTACGTGCCTTATAGCAAAAAAACTCTCAAAAAAAAAAAAAAAAAAAAGAAAGGAGGGATGAGAAAGGCAAAAGGCCCACATAGCCTTGTGGGGTGAGGAGAAAACCTGCCGGGCTCTGCAGCACTAGGAGGGAGCCCCTCCACGGGCTCACAGAAGGGGTCTCACCATGAACGAGGCAATGACATAGGACAATGTGTACCAGACCACACGTGAGACAGGATTCAACAAAGTGAGCATTGCCTAAAACCTCTCGTGAACACTGCTAATCCACACATTTTTCTACAAGAAAGGACTTACTACTAAAGAACTAAAAATGCTTCCCAAACAAGAAGACTTACAGTGTTGCTTTTCTCTTGATACACTGCTTTCAGCTTTTTTGCTGAACCCTCAACAATCCCATAACTGAGGTAAAATGTGGTTTTAACCCCCAGTCCACAGACGGGAAAACTGAGGCAGTGAGAGGATAAGCAACTTTCTCAAGTCATGGAGGGCAGAAAGCAGAGTCAAGCTCCCCACAACCTGCAGACCACGCACTGCATTCCTCCAAGTTAAGCTAAAACCTGAGCACCCTAGACCCTGCGAAGTCTGAAACAGAACTCAAAGCAGAGGAGCACACGATCCCAGAAGCTCATATCGGCTTCAGATCTGTCCTTTTCAGCAGCTGCTGAGCAGTGACCACATCAGGCTCAGGGGACACGGATGCATCAGGCATGAAGCCCAGGCCCTGACACAAAGGGGCTGCCACTTCATGGGGACACAAGTGCCACAGACAGCCACATCTTACCAATTTTACTGAAATGACCCCCAGCTGACCTGGAAGTATTCTTGGTTCCCATGAAGCTCTCAAGAAAGGGAATTCTGTGACACTGAACAGAGCAGAGCTCCTGGGAACAGAGAGAGATTAGGAGGGGCCCCCTAGTTGAAAGGCACAGCACGACATTAAATTAATGAAACTTCTGTTGCATCTATTATGACAGTGTGCTGGAGACAGCTGTCACTACACCACCGCGCAGCTGTCCCCCCAGCAGAGGGACCGAGCACCCTGGGAGCCGCCTGCCTTGGCCATCTGCTGTCAGCGGGCACGCGGCTCCTCAGCACTCACCACGTGTCCAGCCCTGCTGCATGGGGACAAACCTGCAGTCCCCGAGTGGAGGCAGAGGGGCACGCGAACCCAGGATGACTCTCAGAAAACCAAAGGCTCAGCCGTGCAATGCAGGCCCTGGAGTCCAGACACAGTAGCGGGGACACTGATCCAGGAAGGCCGCGTGGGCAGGAGAGGCTTCTCGGCCAGTGACAGCTGGAGCTCGGCACCGCGGGACTAGGACGCTCCAGGAGGCAGGGAGGACAGACACACGCAGGTGCTGTGAGGAAGCGGTACGGCAGCAGAGCAAGGAGAGGGAGCGGACTCGCTGCAGTGCAGACGGGCCGTGCCTGCAGGCACAGGGTGGGAAGGCCCAGCAGTGGTCCGAGCAGACTGCTGTAGACTCAAACCACAGGACCAAGTTGGAGGCTAACCTCTCAGACCAGAAAAAGGCTGGTACTATTGCCGGGAAGGGCCCCACGGCAGGCTGAGGACAGCAGCCACCACCAAGCAGCTGCGGCACTGAAACGAGTGACATTCCCTGGCTAAAAGGCTCCCAGGGCCGTGGGTGGCAGTGCGGTGGTAGAGCAGTGCCTGCAATGCTGGAGCCACGGGAAGGTCCCGGGTCTGCACCCCCGAGCCCTCCTATACAGGCCGGGCGTGTGCACATGTCCATGATTCAGACTGGCAGAGGCTAGGGTGGGTCAGGGCGTAAAGTCCGCATAGTGGTTCCTTGTCTCTCTGTCTCCTGGAAGAAATAAAGTTAAAAAAACAAAAAAAGTTCCCTTCCTTCCAAGCCTTCAAACAAAAGGCCAGCATCTATATTTAAATTAAAAAATAACACGGTATGTGCATTCAGAACATGTGAAAAGGCCAGTGAGGAGCCAGAGGAGTACCTCCCAAGACCCCTCAGCTCTTGGCCTCAGCACGGCCTCCCTCAGCTGACTCAGAGGCCAGCTCGAAAGTTTCCAGGGAGCCGACTTTCAGCACCAGCCCTGTGCCCAAGACCACGTCTCCCTCCATGGTTTTTCTGCAATGAAGACATGCACGAGGGTGGCAGAGGTGGGGTACACACTGCCATCAGCAAGAGACAAGAGCCTCAAAGACGCTTGCCCATAACCCGTGGCCAGGGGTCCTTCTCCTGAGATCGTGCCTTCATGACCATCCCCGCATGAACAGGGTGGCGCACAAGACACTCCATTTTGGCAATGGCAGCACCCAAAACAACCCAGGGGCTCGGCAGTGGGCTAACCAAGACATATCCACAAACTGAGCTGCCACTCTGCCACTAAAAATCATATCTGCAGAGTCCTGAATGGCACGGGAAAATGCTCAGAAGGAACGTAATTTACAGAACGGAACACACAACTATTTGGTGTGAAGATAATTCTGCCACTAACGGATAGACAGCCTTTACGGGTGGAGAGATGGAAGAACAGTCAGCCAGGCCAGAGGAAGACACCAAATGTTTTACTGTAAAACTTTTTGTCAATCACTTTCATGTTTTCTACAATGTTCCTAAATAGCTGATAAAACTCAGAAAGACAGCTGGACCTTCTAAACAGCGATGTGATAAAAGAACACAGTAGGCAGGACACAGCAATGGAGATGAGCTCCCAGCGGACGGGGCAAGGATGGCATCTGATTTGAAGCCACATGCCCAGCCTGGCACCCTGCAGGCATTCAGCAGAAAGGTGTGCTC